AGCTACTGAGTCCTGATAGGAGCTTGGTTTTGCAATAGGATGAAGTTTAACTTCTTTTTATATTGTTTGTATGAATCTCCTCACTGATGTTTTAGGACTACAATTGATCTGGTGCATTCAACTGACGGATCCCAAGTAGGACGAAACACGCGTCCTGGATCCCCCTACTAGCCACTATCCATCTTTGCTTACAATGAAATAATGTTTAAATAAAATACTTAGACGAATGTTGAATCAAAATCAATAACGAATTAAATTCGATGCTATGTAACACATCATAACTAAAAATGTAGTAACATGATAAGTGGAAAACGTCTGAAACACCAAGTATGATCATTACGACTAATTATACAAACTTTTTATTCAAATAGTCAATCAAAACACTTGGTTAATTACCGAAATTATAATCCACTTTTTATACAATACAAACTTAATAAGTTATCAGTGACTGATATATTTTTCATCATTTTCTGTCTTAATTGTTTATATCTCAAACGTATGAACACGTACATTAAAAAGTCTAAGATTCTTACTAATTTTCATTGAAAGTAATGTTACCTAAACGTAATTTCCATGTAAATTAACTGGAACATTATTCGGAGCTTTTCATTTCAAGGTAATGCTTATCAATGTGATTAGAAAATTAATAGCCAAACATTTTATTGATCATTACATAATCACTAGTCTGTCGTAGAATAATAATGTTGACTTTTAATAAATTTCATTAAAGTGTTAGAAAAGATTTGATAAAACTCAACAAACGCTCTTTTAACAAATGAGTCCTTGGAAATCTATTTGAAAAGTTTTCAATATGACGAAACAAAAGCCAATTTCAATGTAAACTCAAGTCAATAGGCGGAAAAAGATAAAACTGAAGAAAGGGAAGAAAGCTAACCAAAGTTAGTTATTTAGACTTTGAACAGAAGTGATAGTTTTTTTCAAAATGAGCTGGAATAATGAAAATAATATAATGAGGATGACGTCAACTAGATTACAGTTCCATTCCATTAGCCAACTTTTCATTATTATCACTATTGGGATTTCGTTATATGACAAACGTCCACAAAAGAGATTGAAAAGGTTGAATTTAGCTCGTAAGAATAAAAAAAATAGTCAAACTAGAATGGTTACAGATATTTGATCATAAGTGTCTTCAAATTACTGTTTACAAATTCTTGACTGAAGAGTGAGAGAAGAACTCGAAAAGTTAAAGCAACTACAGAATGACAGTGTAGAATCTGTTTTCAAAGTCACGAACTTGTCACTGTCTGTGATAGATAAACTATATTTATTTTATACTTCTGATCTACCGCTAGTTAACACCGATGCAAGTCAAGACAAGTCTAAGGTTACTCAGATCAAATCGTTGTATCATTCCGTAAAATCAATAACAATTTTTCGTGGGCAGTGTAATGATATCAAGATGTTTCAGTCACAAATATAATTGTAATAAGTAATTGAAGATTTTTCTTCATACCTTTTTAATACCTCATTGAAATACATATCAAAATAATAAGAAATATTATTCAACTAAATTTTAATTATTTTAAAGTTAACAACAATCTCTGTTCATAAGGATATCACATTAATCTTCATATTAAATACTATTTACTTCCATTTATAATAATATCCGGTCATATACAACAATAAAAATCTCAAAAATCGACTACTTTCTTGCTTAATTATGTAGTATTTACATCGTACTGCATAATAAATTGTCATATTATACATGTTTTATATTAAGAAATTGTATTTTGAAGGAAAAAAATGGTTTAACGTAACAATTTAACATTTATAACATAGGAATAAATAACTTACTAAGACATAGATAGATATGAATGTTGTAATTTGACATGTTCATTGAATCGAACCCAATATCTACTCAAGAATATTAAGTAAGTCATTTCTATTTTATTAAAATGTTCACTTTGATTACAATATTCTTAATTTTGTGACATCTACTCATGATCTTGACTCATTTAATCAATAAAATGGATCACGTTCTCAATGTAAATGCCTGTTTCGTAATAACTACTATTGTAAATAACTGTTAAACAAACCCAATTAAAAGTATTCTGTTTTTGACTGTAATAGTAATAGGTTTGGTGACCATTGATTAAGTGAATACCAGTAAAAACTTCACATTACATACATTATTAATTTTATTGTATTCTACAATGCATAATACTAATATAACCGAACTGAAAAAACATGTCAGTCGACTAGTTTCAGGGAAATAAGAGACTGGTTTATATCTCAATACTGTAATTATATACTCTGTATGAAAGAACATTCTACAACACTGATTATGAAAACAGTTCAAACGGCCATAAACATGTGATTACATAATAAGTAAATGCTGATAGAGGAATAAAAAATGAGTAAAGCTCAGTTAATAAAATAAGATTACTAATTTAAAAGATAGTTGAAATAAAAACTCAATGATGTAATAAATGCAAGAAAGATTTTAAAAAATATTAATAATCCATTATCAGAATGTGTTTTGTGGAAATTTTTAGAAATTTTCACAGATTGAAATCATGAGTCAGTTGAAGCTAGACCACCATTGAAAACCTGGAAGCACTGGACGGCCGTTTCGTCCTGGTATGGGACTCCCCAGCAGTGCGCATCCACGTAATTATGATTTTTAAATATCACAGGTTACAAGCTAGCTGACAAGAATCAAACAAAATAAAATGAACTCATGCTATTCTTCAAAAATCTTTATTCTTACTAATTTCACTTTTATTTACCAAGTATAAACTTAGAAATACGCAAATTACTTAACATGATATTTAAAATAAATAAAGTGAACAATGAGTATATTAATCTTTCATATCATTGATAGTTGTTAATATGACTAAAATAAGTTATTAAGTATCTTGATCATTTCCATATCAAATTGATTATCTTATCTTATTATTTTGTCCATTAAAAGTACATGAGACATATATGTTCATTTTAATCTGTCTAGAACATTTATATATGATCAGAAATAATTATATTAAACTAGAACATATCACTCAATATCAGAGAATAATATCAGACAAAGAAAATGGGATAGTTATAGTAAGCAATAAATATGTAATACTAATACTAGTACTAATAATACTACTACTACTAATAACAAGAATGTCTAAGCTACTTATAATTCAGTATAATCAATAATGACTTTCTTAGTAAAATTAAGAATTCATATATTTATATTTTATGATGTCTGATATAGAATTTTAGTACATATTTATTATTATATTATATGATAATAAATTATTATAGCGAGTAAATATAAGTAATATGATGCGTGGTAACATAATTTGGTAAACTATAAACAAATAAACTACTAAATAACTTTTCTGCCCAATTTTTTCAAGTGTATACACTGCGAAAATGAGCATGCCTAATTTTCAGTCATCTCAATTATACTTGATAGTTAATATTTTAAGACCTCTCTTACTTAATTACGTCTGTTAGTCTCACTGGAGCATAGGTCGCCGATCAGCATTCTCCAACCCACTCTGTTCTGGACCTTCCTTTCCAGTTCTATCCAATCGTTGATCATTTTTCTCTTGTCTGTCTCCATTTGTCAGCGTATTGTGTTCTTTAGTCTTCCTCTTATCCTTTGACCTTGAGGATTCCATGTGAGGGCTTGCGTTGTGACCCAGTTGGGTGCTTTCTTCAATGTGTGTTCTATCCACTCCCAGCGCTTCTTACTGATTTCTTTCTCCACTGAGAACTGGTTTGTTTTCTTCCATAGTAGGTTGTTGCTGATAACGTCTGGCCAACGGATCTGAAGTATTTTGCATGGACAATTGTTAATAAACACTTGTATCTTCTGGATGATGGCTTTCGTAGTTCTTCAGGTTTCCATCCCATACGGTAAAACTGTCTTGACATTTGTGTTGAAAATTCTGATCTCGGTGTTAGTTGACAGTTGTTTTGAGTTCCAGTTGTAAATATGCTGTTCTTGCTTTGCCAATTCACACCTTCACATCTGCATCAGATACACTATGTTAATCCATGATGCTGCTCATGTATGTAGAGGTTTTAATATCCTCGAAAGCTCCGTCATGTGTGGTTCGATTGGTGCATTTTGTGTTGTATCGGAGAATCTTGCTTTTCCCTTTGTGCATGTTCAGACCTACTGTTGTTGAGGCTGCTACACTGGTCGTTTTCTGCTTCATCTTTTGTTGCGTTCGCGTCACAAGACTTCTCTAGCTTTTGACAAAATAAGGATGATCCCATTGAATTTATTTTACAAAATTTTCTGTTACATTACAAGTAGACTAATTACATAATATTTATAATCATTTGAATATTACAAAGAATAACACAATTCCTTATATATAAAAGGATAAATACCATAGGGTATATGAATTCCCATCCGTAAATCATGATAGATTATGTGGTAAACTAAATGGTTCATGTTTGTTAGATTAGCTTGTGCGTTTATATCATCAGGGTATCAGTAACAATTATTATGGCCAAATAACGAAAGTATCAAAGATTATTATTTTGAATTGGTTTCCTAGCAATGTTTAGCTTCACGATATTAAGTGCAATCAAAACATTTATATGTTATCATTATTATCAAATAAGATACGAAATAAAAGTGCATGAACTTTTAAACACGAGATACAACAGAAACACAAGTTATTAAACTCACGGCTAGATTATAAAATAATTTGACATTTTAAGCAAAGATGGATAGTGGCTAGCAGTAGAATCCAGGACGCGTGTTTCGTCCTATTGGAGACTCGTCAGCTCGATGTACCTGCATCTCAGAGTTGACTATCCAGAGTTCACTGTCCATCCTTGCTTATAATGCTTGTAAATTAAGACAATATCGAGGTAATACGCATAGTATGCACATATGCCAATAAGAGGCTGATCAGTTGCAGTCCTAAATATCAAAAAAGCAATATTAAGTGAATTTATTTCGATATTCATTTAAAATTAATAAACAAAACTTTTTTTGTATTTTTATTTTGTTCTCCTTACAGAACTGTTAGAAAATACTTAATTACTGAAAGTAATCCAATTTGCTACTACTCAATGGATACGCCTAATAAAAATGACAAATTAATTTTAAAAAAGGAACTACCAAATGTTAAGCAAAAAATTGATCAGTTTAACAAAATTGCCTATAACCATATGTTTAAATCACGCAGTAATATTCCAATTATAAAGTTGAATAATAATGAATTTCCTTGGACAAATGAACAATTCTATTTGAGACAAGTGAATAAAACACTTAATCTTTGGAATTCTAATGAACAACTAAATTCAAAGTCAGTTGCTATGCCAAATATAACCAACTTCTCAAACATTAACAATCAGCACAATCATGAAGGATTTATTGATTCCAATTATGATGTACTTTCAGTTAAAAGCATATTCAAAAATGTAAATCAAGAATCTATTGAACTAAAAAATACTTTATCAACAGATAAACAATATAAGTATCACAAAACTAAACTTGAACATTCATTTCTAATTTCTAATCATCCAAATGAATCAGATAAATATTCTTCTCAAACTGAACAAAATCAACTACTCATTGGAGGAAGATTAGAAAATAAGAAAAAAGATAATGACAGCAACAACAATTTAACTGTAGATGGATTTATAAATAATAATATAATACAAAATGTTAACCTGTTGTCTGAACAGTTCACACTGTACGTTTATAGAAATTCTAACCAAAATTTAGGATTTTCAGTATCACGTAAGGTTTTTCAATTATAAATTATGATTAATCAGTTGTTGTCTTTTATTCTTTCACTGAAAGAATTCTAGATTCTCTATGTAGAAAACTATTCAAGTTATCACATGATGTAAAAAGACCAAGATTGGAAATATTTTATAACTTCACTGATGAGCTCTTTCGTAAGAAGAAATGATTTGATGTTGTTTTGCTTTCATGATCATATGTAGAGGCTTCTTATTTATTGGGAATATATCTTGTTAATCAGTTGATCTATAAAATCACTAGAAGTATTGCCAAACATCTGAAGCATTAAGATTAAAACACGAAGGGATCTCTTTTCACCGAATTTATTATCAAGCTGTACAATCGTATATATATGTGAAATTTTTTTGTTTTTTATAAAAGTACTAATTCCGTGAGGAACTGTGAACACAGTTAATAAAAAAGGTTATAATACTAGATTACGTAATATGAATAATAACAATAGATTTAGGGAATATAATAAGATGATTACAATGTTTTTTGTCATAATAATTAAAGGTCATAGAGGTGTAGAAAATAAATAAGGTGATATGATGAGCATTTACGAATAAAACAATGAGAATATAAGACATCGCTGAACTTCGTGTTTTAATTTCAATGTTTAAATGGGAATTATCTGTCATCTGAAGCATTATCAACAATCTGGTTGAGTAAATATGTACTGAGATATTTTCAGACATCATAATTAAGAATTACACATGTATGCACGTAATTTGAAGCTTGAAGTGAACTTCCGACAAATATATCACTAAATATAACGGAGTATGCAAATGTATTACATTTTTACTAGACAGAATAATATAATTTTTCCTTGGTTTTTTTGTAATCTTTTATATTGTAGGGTCCTAAATAAAATAACATACCTCCTGAATTTCACTGCTAACTGCATTTCATTTATTCTATGTAGACTTTTTCCTTTTATTAGTGATCATAACGAAAATTAGATTCTTATACAAAATTCAATAGAAATTCTATTTGAAATCGTGTTCTTTTTTGATGGAGTTTTGTTCTCTGAGCTAGATGGTTTGGTCGTGGAGCTTTCATCGTTTTTCTGAACGACATCATCAACACAAACTTCAGATAGGAGTGAAGTGTTTGAATTTCTCCATATGCGTTTCACAGCTTGTTCTGTACACCTCGACGTTGATTAGTTCTTATTGACCTTAACTTTGTCATTGTTTACTTCTTTGTTTTGGTTGTGTCCCCCATTGGTTTGATTTTTGTTCCTATATTTGTGCATAATTTTCCATAATCTCGAAATCGTGTTCATTTAGTTCCAAAAGTGCTGCTTAAATGTACAGTTAACATTTTAAAATGTGATATCATTTTTTCTTTATGTTGAAAATAAACTATTTGGATAGCTGAAAAAATGAGCATAAAGTTTGTTGATGATTATTTCAAATAAATCGAATCGTTTAACTTATTATAAAGCATTTAAAATTAATTTTTTACAGTTTAACTAATATGAAAAGTTAAATATTATCCATTTCTAAATGAGTAACTATTCTACTGATTTTGAGATTTAAAAGTTCTAGGTTCGAATTTCACGATGTGATATTATAAATACGCATTGCTGAGGAGTTCCATACAAGGACGAAATGGCCGTCCAATGGTCCCATGTTTACGATGGTGGTTTAACTTCAATTAACTCATGAATTCAACTATTAAATTAAAATAAAATAATCAAGGTTAATTACAATTCTATCAACAAATAAGAGAGTTATTACGTATTTCTTTTATTAGTAGATTATATCATTTGTTTTTACATCACTAATTTAATTTTTTAAAAATTAATTTCTGTTGTAAAATTCAAATATGAATTGTTCTGGAGACAAATAATATCGATTTCTTTATTTAAGTGATTTATTTCTTTTTATATTGTTTTTCGAAAACATAAATAAGCACATATGGTAACAACTGTTGCTAGTTCCTTTTTTTGTAAGAAAAACAAATCAATACAACCTACAAGTGATAATGTTTAGGCAAATCATTGTTTATAATAAATCATAAAGACAATTTTTTTTATTAAGATCATGAACCGATTGATGTTAGACCACCACCTTTGGAAACCTGGAAGCACTGGACGGCCGTTTCGTCCTATTGTGGGACTCCTCAGAAGTGCGCATCCACGATCCCACTCGCGGGAATATAAACTAACCTTTTTATTCATCATCGAAGGTCAAATGTACAAGTGGTTTGCGTACTCAATCTAATTTCTTTTCTTAAATAATATTTATTTTATTTATTTACATCATTAATATAAAAAATAATTTCATTGTGTTATTCTAATAAACTTTGTATTAGACGGAAGTTGTAAAATTCAAGTCCTACGAAGAATAATTGATTCCTTATTAAATAATACCTATTTCTGAAAATAATTAGAAAAGTTATATTGAAAATGTAATACAAAAGGATAGTTGAAATTCAAAATAAATAATAGTATATTATTTGAAATGAAATAATATGTATAGTATTTTGATTGGACATTTATCATGGAATTATCATTATAGTGTTGTGGAGATTATTATGTTTTTGATTGAGAGGTTAAGCATTCGCACGTGAGACTGAAGGCCCTGGGTACGAATCCTAGGAGCGCGATCGTGAATGCGCACTGCTGAGGAGTCCCACAATAAGACGAAATGGCCTTACAATGCTTTCGACTTTTCAATAGTGGTTTAACATCAACTGGTTCATAATCTTAATAAAAAATATCATGGAATTGTAAATAATACACACCCTAAGATATATGAAATACATATAATCTGAGGTTATAATATTTTAATGTATAACATTATTTAAGAAATATACATTGTATAAGTCAAAAATCTTGAATAATTCTTAATAACTATTGTGTGAAAAGCATAAATACATTTTAAGAATGGCATAACTAAAAAGTCGTGTAAGTTTTGAAATGATAGATACTTTATCCTTGTCATGGAATGTACGTTGAACAGTTTCTGCACTAAGGTATAGTTTTTATGTTTAGTATTAATTAAAGGTCATCGTTACTGTTCTGAGCTACACTACATTGAGATTGTATAACATTTTTAATTCATAAAAAAGAAACGAGTCTTTTGAAATACCATCGTGTGAATAATATAGTCGGTATATAATTGGTTTTTTCTATTCTACTTACTTACTTTACTTACACTTGTTACTCCCAACGGAGCATAGGCCGCCGATCAGCATTCTTCAACCCACTCTGTGCTAGGTTTCTATTCTAACTACTATTCAAATAATACTTAACATGTTTTCATTGATTTCAATGAGTTACAATGATTATCCAGGCTAAATCCAATCTTAACGTAAAGATCCATAACTGATGACATTTGAACTATTGATGGATTGTTTACCATTGTGAGTCTAATATGAAAATAACTCTTAATCTTCAAAACTTTAGGTTATTAGAGTCATTCTGCGATATGGTTGCTGGTAACTTATGCTAATAGTTCTACATTTTATCAAAAATAGGATATTGAATAAAGCTAATAAAGCTAGTGATAATAATGATAAAAACTCACCGAAAGTCTCAAAGACGGCAGAGTGCCTATTTGGCTCCCGCCAGTTTTTAATTGTTGTCTAAGTAACGTTGGTCTGCAGTACACACTTTCCTTAAACTAAGTAATTTCCATGGACCTATTTCAATAGAACTTTTTAGTTGTAAATTTTGTATGAGGTAGTTTCATTTATCAAATATTTAAATAACTGTTCCTGAATCAATATAGTATTGGATCGTTGGTACGATCACTTGCAAATGCCAAAGTATCAGGTCTGTCATCAAAATTATTTAAATTTTGTCTTTTTAAACACCCACTGGTGTATTGTTTCACGTGCACATTTTTGGGTAGATCAAACATCAGTTATTGTTTCTTTTTTGCTTCAGGTTTGAACTCACTATTTGACGAAACTTCAAATTATTACGTAGTCATCAGTGGTATTCAACTTCCCAATAAAAACAGTCATTTACGAATTGGGGACTGTATTTTATCAGTAAGTATACAGTGTTCAGTTTCCATTATATATATATATATATATATATATATATATATATATATATATATATATATATATATATATATATATATATATATATATATATATATATGAACAGGTGTGAATTCATTCGAAGATGGTATTGAGAAACATCTTTGGGGGTATGAAGTTGTTACATGAAGTCGGTAGTAGTTGTGGAAGCTTTGATGAGTTTCCATGAGATTCAAAAAATTATCACATACCGTACATCATATTTCTTAAGTACCTCATTATAACGTGATTCTTTTTCTAACAAACAGATATGTGTCCTAAAAACGCGACTATTATTAACTCCTTGATATGTCTGCCCACTTGTCTGTGCTTAATATACAGTCAGAGTGAGAGAATTGTTTCAATTTCGTTTAAGGTCTTAAAGGGATAGGCTACTTAGTAAAGCATTAAGACTTGCAATCCGTGATTTTGACAATCACTAAAAGATCTTAATGACAAAGTGAAGGAAACATTTTTGTCACTGAACTATGAACTGACAGGTTGATTAGCTAACGAAAAGAATAGGAACTATCTTAAAACGTTCCTAATGCATATGAATTAGCATGACTGCCTACAATACACAGTAATATACAGTTGTGTTCAAACCAGGGTATTCGAGTTGAAAACTGGATTACAAAGGTGACGTTTAAATTACAGTGATTTAGTAACAGAAAAGTATATGACATTAATTTACACATTAAACAAGGATAAAACTAAATGCTAGTACTTTAAAGATCTTAAATTAAGTGGAACAATGTCCCAAGAAAAAGCCTCTATTCTTTATTTCTTTATTATTTCTCCCTTTTCACATCAAATATTCAAAACAAGTTCACTTCATGTATCAAGTAATTTATGTTTTCATTTAAAAATATTAGGAAAACTTTAATAAAGAGAAAATATGCAATAATTAGTTTATATTGAAAAGAAAAAGGTAAATTCAATAGATATTGTTTAGTTAATTTACATTGATCTAATCATAATTGTTATGTAAATACTGTTTACTAATCAAACTTAACCTTTTCATTTAGGTAAATGAAATAAATTTAATTAACATGGATTTAATGAAATCAGTTAGATTATTAAAATCAACACCATTTCCAATTCAATTAAAAATACAAAGGTTGAATAAAATCAATTTGGTAAGTTATAAACTTGATAAATTCATCTAGAAGTAATTATTAAACTACTAAAATCTCTTATAGAAGTATGAATATCTTAGTTTTATGTATATAATATTAGTTATGATTGAAATTCCAGCAAAAAATTCCGAAGTCCTGTTCATTGTTAAGTATCCTTATGGTATGGGGAAACTTCATTGCTGAGGATAGAAATTCTTTATGAACATAAACTTGCTTACGTATATAGTAACCGTTGTTATGTGTTTTTCGAAACAATTACATTTTATATTGTTACTGTTTCCTTCGTATCATTGAAACTACGATACAAAGTTATTTATGACAGTTTCAAACCCGTTTCTATCGATTTGTAAAAATGATTTTAAAAACTGTTAATCAATAATTGGTGTTGGCGACATTTTCATGTTGCTACGTAATGAGCAGTAATAAAATTCATTGTCCATTTAATTATACATAGGACTTGTTTTTTGAAATTATTTTTGTATCAATGGCTGTCTTTAGTGGCCCATTAATCGGACTCCAATTATAAAGAAATTATGAAGAATTCATGTATATCTTACATTTAACTCGGTATATTACACCTAGGCTAATCCTATTTGTATGACAGTGGTGATAAGCCAAATAATATTTGAAATGGATGGATTTATTTCAGATACTCGTCTACTGAAACAAAAATTAATAAGAAGCCCAAAATTAATGTGAGGCGAAAAAGGCAGGCGTAAATATTCCATTTGAGAAGGCCTGATCTATAGTCAGACAAAAATAAGTTAAAGACATGTGATAAATAGGGAAGCAATACAGACATATACGCTAGTATAAAAACAGTCAAGGTTATAAGCGAGTAATTCACTAGGTCGACACATGTGACTCAAAATGAATACATTAATTGGCCCGTCCAGTAACTAGTATAGCCATGTGAGCTTGGTATAGTACTAGAAACTGCATAAGCTTCAATACAGTATTTAGTATAAATATCGTTATAGAAAGTGTTCTGGCTGAACGCTTGCCATGATTCACGATATTTGTATATGTCACAAGGCAAGCTCTCACATGGAAACCTCAAGGCCAAAGGAAAAACGGAAGACCAAAGAACACATTACACTGAGAAATGGAGACAGATATGAGAAAAATGAACAAAAATTGGACATAACTGGAAAAAAAGGCCCAGAACAGAGTAGGTTGGAGAATGCTGATCGGCGGCCTATGCTCCATTGGGAGTAACAGGCATAAGTAAGTAATGCATATATGAATTTTCAAAATCCCTAATAGCATACACAAATAACAAATTGTAAGGGAAACATGCCGTTCCTCCTAGTTTCCATTCATACTCCGTAAGTCAGCTTATAAATATGAAATTCCTGTACACGAGATTTTGTCATTGTTATACGCAAAACAACGAATTAAACTTATTGTGTTATTAGACAAAAAGAAGACATCACAGAGAAGAAAGTTCTCTTCTCAATGATACTCTAGTTGAACAATATCTCTTTTTTACTACAGACTACATTGTATCAAGTTAATTAAAAATACAGTTGCAGAGCTTGAGTGAATGATATCAGCGAAAAAAAAGAAATTTTCTTCGCTAAACAACTTTCGTATGAAAAATGGATAAATGCGGCTTAGTAATTTTATATTGCTCATTTCAAAACTAAATCTTGTTTCTTACTAATATATTGTAATGAAATTTTTCTCTATAATTTTCAGTTAACTGATATTAACTATGAAGAAGATTTTCTGTCAGTCGATACAGATACAGATGAAGAAGCTGAAATAATGACGAAAATTATTGACATGGCACAAAATTTTACTTCTACTAAATGCAAAAAAATCAACGAACAACTTGACCTGGAGGTAAGTAAATGCACATGAAAGTTCTCATTTATTTTAAACTTAACTAATTGAACTAATGTAATTAATATTTTTTTGGATAATGGAATTGAAATAATTTGAGGAAGTCTAGTTTTTCACCATACATGTACATTTGCAATTCTTCCATCAAACCTTTGCTATCATTGGGAAGTGTAAATATAAGCCAGTTTTTACACAGCTCTAATCAGTCTTAACCGATGAACCAACTGAATAGTGAAATTAATCATCCTTATTTCAGCTTTTAAGAAAACATTAAGTCGTTTCCTTTACTGTTATTTTTGTACAGAAATTCTCTTAAGAGAAAAATGAATGTTTACATTCGTACAATTTATCATATACATAAGTATTAACAACATTCCTTTCACTTATTTCTAATTACAAATCTTGTGATTTTAAGAAGTATCAATTTCCAAAGGAAATTCAAATAACAAATACAAACTAGCAAAATTATAAATGCGATGTCAATTCATTTCTCACTTGTCAACCAATCAAAGACTAATCTACATTTCAAGTAAAACTTGACTATCTTCCCTATTTCTTTCGTATGCTTTCTTCTTCATCTATCTCAGTATATTTTCATATTGCTTCAATAAAAACTTTTCGAGTATTTCTTTTGAAGAAAACTAATTTACACGCTGAGATGGTGGTGACTAGCAGTGACATCCATGACGCGCGTTTCACCATATTTGGGAGTCGTCAGCTAAATGTACCTGCATCCCAGGTTTGACTTCTACCCCGGGACTCGAACCCAGTACCATTTGCCTCAAACACTATTGTGTTAATCAGTTACTGAGTTAAGATAACCACTAGCTTGTGCAATTGGATGAAGTTTAATTCATTTTTGTGTTGATTACTTGTTACGTATCATTGATATTTGGGACTGCAATTGATCAATCTCTTATTGACATATGTGCATCCTATGCTGATTGTCTCGTTATTATCTTCAGTCACTGTTAGCCACCATCATCTCAACATACAATACCTGAGAGTCACTGGTGCTCATGGCTCGAGTTTTTTATAATATAAATACTCAACACACCAGGACAATTTGGTATTTAATGGTCATTTCGTGATATAATCTATATTCAAACGATTTTATTCATTTTTTAAATGTTTAATAAGAAATAATGAAAATATTTATTCATACAGTATCAAGAAATGACAATAATTATTACATAAGAGACAGAAATATTTATAACAAGAAGCACGAACATTTTAGGATAAAATGAATCCATTTTGTTTCACGCTCTTTACAACCCTTAGTATACACACTAAATCTATAAATAAAATAGTTTATAAGTGTAGTTTCTTTTTTGAAACACAATTTCATTCAGTTTACCAATGAATAGTAATCTCAATTACTTTTCACATCCATACAATATTATTAGTAACGGGACAAATAAGAGGGATCATGTTATAATCAGGAATAAGAAAAAATATGCAAATTAAGATAGACAAATGATAAAATTATTATGATATTCGTTACACAAATCTAATGATTAAGAATTCATAATACTGATAATAATAATAATAATAATAATAATAATAATAGTAATAACTATCATGGTAATAATTCAAAGTGGTACGAAAATTCTGAGGGGGTGCAAATAATTAAATAGTTAAATATAGGAGTGGTTAAACAAATTTGAAACAGTTATGATAATGAAGATAAGACTAATAATAATAATAACTTTCATAGTTTCAAAATGAACTGACCTTGACTAAACTATCACTAAAAACGAGGACAGACACGGCAAACTGTTTCATCTTATCATAGAATTCTTCGAGAGATTCCATCCACGATCCTACTGCGTATAGCACCGGAGACCTTCGGATTAACAGAGAGCGACTAACCTCTAGACCACTGAACTGTCATCAAATGGTAAACATATAAAACTTGGATTGGTTCTCGATAGTAAGCGACTATTTTTCGCTGTCTGAGTTGGATAACTATCATGTTGTATCAGTTATATGATAAGTCAGTAACCTATGATCACTGGAGTAAACAGTATCGTGTAATTAATGATGAATTCCGATTGGATCCTTTTAAATACATTTTAGGTACGTCACATGATAGGCTTCTGTCGACGGAGCCCAGGATCTTCATTCTTGCTTACAAATGTTTAACCTACAGATCATTGAGCTAAGATCTGATAATGTGGATGTTTAACTTCAACTCATAATATTGCACAGCCGTTTTCCGTTACGAGGATGGATAGCTGTTTCACCCTAAACATGGTTCATGATTTAAACTATGAAAATTCTAAAATCTCCACAAATTCCTTAACAATAATAATACTAATGATAATAATATGCCTAATTGGCATGATAAATTTACTAAGACGGTCGATGAGGTTATCACAATTAAGTGGGATCTGGTGGGAATGGTAAAAATAATATATAGAGCTAATTTATCGAAAAATAGTATTCACTAAGGTAGTCCGAAGTTATTTTTTGTAGTCATTGTTCATATTTCATTACCATATAAACTAAAGGCATTTTAGGAAACAAATGTTTTGTTTATATGTTATCATTACTTAAACATATACATCTGTATTCCATTGGTATTATGTGTGTGATAATCTAACAGTGCACTGAGATGATGTTTATCAGAACCGTGTAAAGTATTACTAACATAAATGTAACATTTAGATAACGATTCAATTCAGGATGTAAAGTTTTCTAAGGTATATATGGAATACATTACAGTAATCAGTGAGAAATATGAGATTACTAGTTGTGCTCTGAAATCAATAAACGTAGTAGGAAATTTTTTTGATGAAGAGTAGAATAACATTCAACTCCAAAAATATGAGATGCTCTATCCATACAAACCTTATATCAGTAGAAAGAGGTAGTCACTGCATCCATATAGCGTTAGTTAAATAGTGAAGTAAACGTGCAGTCTCACAACATGGACCAAATTAATTTCAACAACCATCAAAAGATGGAAAGCATTAAATAACCGTTTCGTCCTAGTTTGGACCTCCACAGCTCTGGGCACATGAATCTATCGGAGCTCAAATATAGGACCTTCAAGCATTGTGATAAACATTCAGCGTGTAGACCTACGTGTCTTCGAAAACGCTTAATTTGATAAGAGGTTATCAACTTTCATCCTTCTGTGTCGCTAATCGAAAATACAACAGGATTAAAGTACTCATCAAAAACCAGATTTACTAGTATTATGTACAAGAGTAAATACTTGGATTCTTCCAGAGTCTAGCTATATGAATTAACTCTGTGTAAATCAAAGTAGTTGAAATGAAACTGAATGTGGTAACGACTATTGGTTAGATAAACAAATTAACGGGAAGCCAGATAGTCAGTCAGATTCAAAGTAAAGCGTGGTATTTATATACAGCCGTTCAAGTTATCACAACCCATTAGCACAGTAAGATGAAAATGTCAGGGACAATCTCACAGTAAAAGAGCTAATAACAGTATCAATGGTAACAGAAAGATATGGCATCAAAGATAATAGTTCAAGAAAATATAATTTACAATAATATAAAAATTATGAGGAATTCAGAAGCTCAGAATATACGAGATGATAAAAAATGAATGAGCCTGCATCACTGCAAACGATTTTGAGCCATGTCATTCAAAATCTCTAACCGCTGGTTACAGCATTCACTCAGGCACCAACCAGGTAGTTTACATCTTTTAACATGGCTCAGTCCAGTTGTCAGTGACTTTATGGATGGCCACTCTTAGCTTTCTTCCAGCCGACACGCACACCAGCAATATGGCGCGTTGAAATAGGCGGTGGCTGTGCATACGTCACACATGTCTCAACCCACCTTAGTTGATGAAGATTTACTAGTTCATCAATTGATTTGCCATCTTTACCTAGTTCTTTATTCCTAACCTGAGTATTATTTACTCGGTGGTCCCAAAATACACGAGAAATGTTTCGAAGACACTTATGATTGAATATTAGCAACCCACGAATATCCTCTGTTTTTAATGGTTATGTTTCACAGTCATAAAGTAGAGTAATGCGAATTGCTGTGAAGTAAATTATTCTTTTGGTCATCAGATGGATATCTCGCCAACGCACAATTAACACACGTTGGGAAAAGTCAGTGAAGACTTCTAATTCGGTGCCGAGATTTCATCAGATACTATGCCATCAGGTCCGATAAGACTCTCAAAATAAGTGGTACAGTCGATGCGTTCAGTTGTTTCACTCTCTATCATTAATGCAGCAGCTGACGCAGGACAATTTTGAAGCAACATTTCGTAGTTAGAGAAAGAATAGCACCCAAATATAAGATTAACGGGAAGATGATTATTCAGATCGTAATATAACAAAATGTACATAATACTTTTGGACAGAGTTATTTGCTTGTCACCACTGTGAAATCCTTGAAAACAAACATCAATATCTGCAAACAATTTAAATTATTTTGGAAACATGATTGGATCGATTCTAAGATACAAGTTTATGTTATTTGTTGAATACTTGTTTTCCATAGTAATTAAATTCATCTTTGAATAAAATGATTAACCGTGAACAAAGTTAATGATGAATAACGTCTTTCAGCAAAATAATTATTCAAAAGTATGCATAAGGTTCAATGTGCTGTGTGCTACGTGTGTCGACATACGTAGTATATAACGCCAAATAGAAAAAGAAGTACCTAACAATAGCACGTTGAGAAGATCAAATAAAAGAGAACGGGAACAGAGAGTAATTGATATAGAAATGAAAGAACAATAAAGTCTGAGATGATTTAATGTTGCAGTATAATTGGTCGTCTCTACACGTGTTTTCGTTTATTAGGACCAAAAAATAATATACAAGATGTTTGTCGAATTAATGCACATAAGTTTTTATTATTATTTTATAATGAATGGATGAATGAAGCATGAACTATCTAGTTATGTAATCCATCATATTCACGGTGAGAATTTTGTCAATTATTTCAGTTGTATATTCAGCTACATGTTAGGCATATTTATTTCTTATGTGTTAATCAATTAATCCATCTTCGTGGATTGGTTGAAGTTAGACACTAATACCGCTGGATGCCGGCTCAGTAGTCCAGAGGTTAAGCGTTCACACGCGAGACCGATAGATCCTGGGTTCGAATCTTGCGAGGTGTGATGGTGGATATGCACTACTGGGAAGTTCCATACTAAAACAAAAAGGCCGTCCAGTGCTTATAGGTTTTCTATGGTGGTCTAACTTCAATTGAATCATGATCTCAACTATTGAAATATCTATTTATTATATGAATAGAATTTAGTATTTGTTCAATAAGGTCATCATACTTTTAAAAAAACTTTTGTACATAAGTTACACAATCATAGAATAAAGATTATTTAATTAATTATTTATTGAATAAATAAATAGAATATACAAAGGGGATGATTGAATATTGATTAAGATTAATTTATCGTTAATAATTGAAAGGGGGTTTTTTTGTCTCTAGAATTAAGCAACAACTAATTCATAATTCCACATTTTTAGAATAAAGACATTGTTAACTATTATTGATTAATGTTTAGAGAATTATTATCATATCAATAAAAGATATTTATAAATAGGACTGATTAATGATTTGTTTGATTACATAATATTTGTCAATAAAGGATAATCAAAATATAAATCTATGTAACGTTGAATTAACTGAAACTAATCATAATACAATAAATGATAATAGAATAACAAAAACTGTAATACAAAGTCAATTTGTTAAATTATTACGACAAAAAGTTATCAAATGGTTACATCTTCATCAAACATTAATTCAATTAAATAAATATAAATTGAAACAATTCAATAAAGATCATTACAATTATGGTGATGAAACTGAAGTTACAATGAATAATACCGATGAAATGATATGGAAGGATGATAGAGTTTTAGGTGAGTTAAAATATTTTCTATTTAATAGATTTCATTATATATAAGAGAATGATAAAGTGTGATATATACATATTTGTAAAGTTTACACTTAAATATGAATGATGATTGTATTATTTTTCTGTCCATTGTCTATGTAAACTTAAGGAATAGAATATATAGCTAATCTGAAACACCAAAATCATCCATCTGAGCTACAAATCTTCTCCACCATCTCAAAATCTGAAACATTATATAACATATGAGATGTATTCAAGTTCAAAATGACATATATACATGTGAAGTGGGTTAGTGTGTGATAAGTAATGTTATTTTTAAAACAACATCTTTTGAATGTTTCTGTAATTCTGATAAATGCAGACTACTTGGTTAGGGTCCGCGTGACTATCGTAACTAATGGTTGGAAACTTAGTGGCATGGCTCAGAATCGATCACAATGGCGTAGGTGTATACACTCTCTGTCTTCCCTTAAACTATGAGCTTAAAATCGCTTCATATCTTTCTTTCTACGTACTAATTCTTTCTTACTGTACTATGTCCTTATATGCAATCTTTCTTTTATATATTACCACCATTGAATTAACTACTTCTATGAATCCGGTGTTCATCTTTCTGTGTTAATGGAGTATGGCAACTTAGACCCATTCATATATGTTCGTGGTCCTACGTTGTAGCTGACTGACTGACTGAATTCTGATAGAGCTATCTTATCCAACATCATAAGAATTACTACTGATTTATCTGGTGATGTATATTTTGTCAATTAACAATACAGTTTCTATAATACCTAGTATGTTTCTGTAATTTCGATGACTTTATAATTACAGTTTTTCATTTGTATTCTAATGACAGACAGAGAAAATATCAGAACTATTTTGTAGTCTATAAATTAAGCGATAAATGAAAGTTGAATTTATTAAAAACTAATACTATAAGGTCATAGGATCAATTCTAGAGCCTTATCTTCTTTTAAGCAAACTAATTTTTTTCAATAAATTTTTGCAATCTATCAGAATTAATAAGTTGATATATTGTTTTGAGCGCAGGAAAATCATTGAGTTCATTTCAACCTTATATTATGATAATATTCTAAAGAAATGATCTAACCTTATGTGTGAATTTCCGTTTGAGAAATTCATATTGTATTACTTAAAATCAAGTCAAATAACTAAAATGAATTAAACTGCATGTAAATTCGTATCATTTCAATAGTGCTTAAATAAAATTGTTTCTTACGTATGCAGATATTTACATTACTTTCTTTATTGCTCAGTTAGAATAATGTAACTAAAATAATGAGATATGGGGAGTTTATAATAGGAAGTCACTCTTAATAGTGTCTTGATTTAATCATGTCACGTTCATGTTCTATACTTCCTACGAACTTTTGATTCGTTCTAACCTAAATTGTAGATTAAAACAAATAAATGAAAATAAAATTTAAAACAATGTCTAGTCAAACATTTAAATTCATAAATAATCACTTTTGTTTTAGTTAGTGTTATATTAATAGATGTATCATTTGATTAAAAGAATACAATTTGGTTGATTGAAATAAAATATGTATCAGTCGTTTAATCTCTTAGAACGATAGTATATATGACCGATCATCCAATGTTAATCACAATTTATCAACTGATGAAATGGAAAGGGTTCTTCAGTGAAAAAAAATCAAATCAAAATATCATGAATTTCTATATGACTTAGGTATGTCAGTATGCTTTTTACTACGAATGCGTATAAGGTTACATGACAAATTTTAATAAGTATTCTTATTTCCTAGTATGCATCAGATCTTTTGTGAAACAAACAACTCTCATTCACTTGGTATTATTTTCTGACGAGTCCTAAGTGGGATGAAACGTGCGTCCTGGATTCCACTGTTAGCCACTATCCATCTTTGCTTATAAAGCTTGTGAGTCAAGGCAATATCGAGGCAGTCGTCACAAGATGCACAAATGCCTACAAGAAAATGATCACTTACAGTCCTTAACAACAATGGGAAGATACAATCAGATAATGCCAAGTGAATTTAAACTTCACCCTGTCTCACAAGCAGGTGGCTATCAGGACTCAGTGCGTAACGCGATGGCGTCTATAGTGAACGATACTAAATAAAGTCCCAAAGTGGACATCAACTTTGAGATGCAGGTACATCCAGCTGATGAGTCCCGAGTAGGACGAAACGCATGTACTGGATCCCACTGCTAGCCACTATCCATCCTTTTTTGTAAGACAACTTTACCGTTTTTGTAAGAGGTAATTAGCAATGGTCTAAATTTTATACGATAAAACTAATTTATTTACAAAATTGTAATATAAGACTAGAATGAAAGTATTTAGTGCATCAGTGAATAAAATAACGTATCCTGAATAAATGACCTAACAATATATGATTTTAAAATTGGTTAATAACAAAAATTTCAGATCGTTATCGGTCTACAACTGTTTTTACACTCAAAACTACTGGATGAGTATGAAAACTAAAATCGGTTAATTCGATAATGAGATCGTATATAATGTGACTTGGAGAGCTCTCCTACAGTGACTCCATATAACAAGTTCTTGCTCAACCTCACTTTTTGTTAAAGTAACTATAAATAAACCTTATTCACCATAAAATTATTCAGATCATTTCATTTACAATCATTTCTTATCACATAAACAACATAATGTATTATAATTCACCGATTAAATTGCAGTCGCTCTGTTCTTTAGTATCTTACCAAAATACACTACATTATCATTACAGTTTAAAAGAGTTTGGAGAGATTTCATGTATTCATGAGTCTCTTCAGGTTCTCAGTGATGTCTTAATGATGAATAGAAACAAATATCAGACAATGTTTTTAGTGGTTCCATATCTACATAAATATTTGGTGGTTTAATAAAAATTAAATTAGTACTTTTTCCATATTTCTCTCTACTTAATAACTATTGTAGTCTATAATATTGTCAAATACACTAGAAGATTAAGATGTTCTTTTTTCTAAAGAATTAGAAATGAACTTATAATTATAGCTCCTGAACAGGCATAATTCCGAGTTTACATTTTAATGAAATCTCGTAAATATACTGGATCGAGTCACGACAGCATAATTTCATCGAAGATTATTATTATGCTTAAATCTTTGCTTGTAACTAACATATACCAAATGCCAACTGAATTTACCGAATACGCGAAGTGAAATGAAAATTCCTCAAATCAAAAGATATTGCGTTTTACTCAGCTATCCATCTCCATTGATTCGTCTTCAAACGATTACTTCTTACTTATAGGTATAAATCAATGACTTGTTAAGAAAGATAACATAACACTGATTAATTCCCTTCTTTATATTTACATGAAGTAATGAACTTTCTTTCATTAAGTAGTTGATGATGCTAAATTCATTTTGAAGCTAATTGTTGCATTATTGATGCATATCATCTGGGAAACCATTAAAAACCAGATAGGACTGGCAGTGGTTATATTCTAGTTTGGTAATAGTCATCAAGATTGTATCTAGGATATTGGTCATTCATTGTTTAATCTAAAATTTCTGGTTGAAAAGTAAATTTCCTAAACAATGTACGTATACTTATACAACATAAAATAAACTTTTCAACCTAAGTTCACCATAACATTGTAATTATAAACATAGTTTCCTCAAACTATTTTATCAGAGAAGAAAATGTATGACACAGTTTGTATAAATGTTGAGAATATGGTCCTGTTGTCATCCCATGAAATCAAGGAAAGAATTGTAAACAATTAATGCATTATCTGGATTTGTTATGTTTAAAGAGAATAATGAAACGTTCTTTTATTTTCTGAAACAAAGTGTCAATTAACAGTCAGACGATTTTTTCAGTATGTCAAGTGATTTTGTTTCTACATAATGGATCTTTATTGTTATGGTTACTCAAAAACAATTAATCTAGATTACCACTAGATAAAACTTAGGTGAATCTAATTAAAAAGGCTTTAAAAGAGTATTTTCTTGTTATATATATGTTGTAAACGCTTCAGTGAATCTAACCAGATGAAGCAAAAAGAAAAATACTGTCTCAATCTAAGAACTGTATACAAGGTTTATCAACAATAACTCATTATTTCTTATTTTCTTATAAAATCACATAATAAAGAAATGCATAAACATTTCTTCTTAATTCGTATAGTTAAATTAACAATACTTTACGTATTTAACCTAAATACTTTTCACTAACATGCTTGTTAGATTTTTGTGCACAGAGAAATATTGCAACTCACTAGTTTATTGTAATTTCTTCTGATGGTTTAGTTTAAGAAACGTTTGTCAGCTGGTATCTACATCTAATGCAATATAATGAATTCAAAATGATTACTGTTACTATGGTAGATAATAGCAGTAAAATCTGGATAGTATGAGATTTTGGAGTCATATTCAATAACGTCATTGAAAATAGATTAATTCTCAGTGCAAATTCAACCTGTTATTGACTTTTTATAACTTCAAGAAAGTTAACCCAATGTCAATGATACAGTTTATCATCTCACCGCAAAACGAATACTGGGTAAAAATGTAAGATTGTTTGTAACACTATGTTAGACAACTGAACTGTTTGGTTGTCCTTAGCATGTCAGTGATTTGTATCAACATTCTCTTTTAGTATCTATTGAATTGTGTTACAATACGTCCTGTGATTGCTAAAGAAATTTAGTTGACTACTAGTGTGAAATGCCAAACATTAACAAATATTGTACTGATGATGTCCATCGTAAAACAGTAGTCTTGAGATGACGCTAAAGTATTTGAATAAATGAATGCTGATCTTAGATTTCGGCTTCATCGAGTTTACTTTGCAGAATAGCGTTAACTTTGTTGTTTCACAAATGAGTTCAAATCATGTACGGGGTTCCACTAACAAATATCATCTAATCTGAGTTACAACTCAATTTCCAGAATTTCTCAAAAATTATCACCGATACTTCACGATACATGTATATAGTTTTCTTAACCAGGAGGCTTCAATTAACCTCT